TGTGTGTGTGTGTGTGTGTGTGTGTGTGTGTGTGTGTGTGTATAAATCATCAAAGATGAGCAGGTAGCAACATCACCAAGAACACCAAGGACGCCATCACCTCCTAATGAATGTGAATGTAACAAGAAACAGGTATCCAGGACACCATCCCCTCCCCCAAATGGATGTGAAGATGGTGCCGAGCAGGTAGCAACATCTCCTGAGAGTCCATCCCCACCCCCATCACTTTGAGAAGGTAAATACCTCCCTGTTTTCTCATTTTTTAACTGTTTCAATTTAATTCATTTCTCAAGCTACATCAGTTTGTAATTAATGTATCAGTATTATATATCAATGAATTTGCATTCCAATGAGACTAACTTTTAATGATATTAACTGTGTTGCATAAAAGCTGTGATCTGTGAACACAGCCTGATACAAAAAATATACAGATTATGGTACTACACATGATGCTATTGCACACAGCCCATTCGAGTATGCCCTTTAAGTGATTATTCATGCCAACCAATATTTTGTACTGTAGGTCAGCAAGGGAATGAAATTATCAACAAAGTTGCTTACTGTGATGAGCAAATATGTATGTCTCCAATGTTGCCTCTACCCAATTCACCCCTAACAGAAGGAATAAATCCTAAAGTCTTTACTGCTACAGCATTGGACAGGCAAGAACTGGTAAGGGCACAGCATTTTTCAACTGCCATTTAGATAAAACCCATTGTATACTTTGGTAGTCTGCATCCAGCCACGAATGATAATTTTCCAAGCAAATTACTCATAACTCTCTAGCTCTACATTACAGAGCATCTGCACAAACTGTTTGATGTCTCTTGTTAGAATCATGATAACCATATATTTATTACCCTCTGTAGTATTGTTATCTTTAATGAATTATTTTCAAAATTGTAAAATACCCATGACTATCAAACAAACTCAAAGTTTGAGCCCGTGGAAACACTAGATGGCAGTTGAACAGCTGAAACTGATTTATTTAACAATACTACATTAGTTTAATATAGTAATATTGTATTAATGTAATATTAAAAATTAATTGAAATTCTGTTGTAAAATATTATGCCACATATTTTGTCACTACTTATTTAAAAACTATTTGTTGCATACAACTAGCTATTTCAAAATATTTTTTCAATATGAAATTCATAAAAATCACCTTTTAAAAATGCAAACTGGTGGCCATGATTTAATTTTTTAAGAAGGCTGCAAACCGAAAACGTATTTTATTATTGTACTAAAATAAATTTTTATACGATTAAGTTGACCGAATTGCTAAGTTAACTAGTTGGCAATTTTCTAGTATGTTCCATACTCAGAATACAACACATGTTATCATTAAGACAGGTGAGTTGGATTAGAATAATAAACATTATATTTGTTACGAAATGTTTAAAATATTGAATATTAAATTTATAAAATGTTCTGTGAAATTGGATTCTCATTGAACTAAACAGTGTAAATTACAGAGAATATTGAATGAGTTTGTAAACTCTGGCAATAACTATAATGCTTTTTGATGTTTGTTAATTAGAAAACACAGAATATTGAATGAGTTTAAAACTCTGGCAGTAACTAAAATGATTTTTGGTCTTTGTTAATTTAAAACACAGAATATTGAATGAGTTTAAAACTCTGGTAATAACTAAAATGCTTTTTGATGTTTTTTAATTAAAAACTATTTGTCTATAGAAATATTTCAATGTGTTCCTAATTTTTGTTCTGTTTGATCTTTTGTCTATGGCTAGGAAAAATAATTATGAATAAATGTGTAGTCACTGAGTAAAAGCTAGCTTTAGTCAATAAAATAAACATGAATGTGAAAGATTGTTGTTTAGTTTATAGTTTGCTGAACTAGTATGTTGTAGAACATTCAAATACTTCCAAGGAATATCAGCAGGGCTGTGGATTGTTTCCTACACATGTATGTATATACTTGAACTCAGAATTCCTTTGATCAAAATTAGTTGCAGATCTTCTGAAGATCTTCTCGATAGGGTCTTATACTAATAATTGTTGACCTGTTTTCATATGTGATTGTTAATATTTGGTTTGCACAAATGTACAGTTTAATATGGGAAATAAATGTTTAATGTAACTTTGCAAATACACATATTGAACATATGGTGGTTGATATTCTCGCCTTCAGGTTTAGAGGCTTGTCTGAAGTTTGGGTACAAGGACCTCTTACCAGAAACAGGATTTGAGGTAGGAGGGTGACGTTGACTGTGGCAGAAAGCACAATGGACCGAAGAGGGCCAGAATGTTGAAAGGCCACTTCTAATGCACAGTTATAAAATGTGCCATATGGGGGAATATTCTGGTTTAAATAAAGGTATTGTTTCAAGGAAGACTCGGTTCCAGTAGATACAGAGAATATTTTGTCATTCTTAATGTGTCCGTCAGAATATTGGGATTTTTTTTCCGGTGGATAATTAGTTTATTTTGTCATTCTGATCATATTTTCTCTACTGTTCCTTTTAAATTTTAAATTGCTTTGCATTAATGTGGTCATTTGCTGTTTTTAAGGGATTATCCAATTTGCCTATTAAAATTATATATTATTAAAGCATCTCTATTGAGATCCAGCGGGCCGCCACTCATGCACGATAGAGATTGCATCACAAATTCACGGACTAGTGCTGTCTCGTAAGAATTTTGTAGAACGCGTTAAAATTGACAAAATATTCTCTGTATCTACTGGAACCGAGCCACATAGCTTGTATTCCACTATTTGCATTCACACCTGGGCTGTGTATATATATTGCTTTGGTT